CTAAAAAAAAAAAAAAAAAAAAAGAGAAGCCACTGAAGCGGTCAACCGGCCGGACATCTGGGAGGATGTCCGGGGGGACGACCGGTAGACTAAAAAATTCAAAAACTGTACGAAAATGTGGGAGCATTGTGTTGGAAGTTTGCTTTGGAATGAGGTTTGCCAAACGTGAAACAGAAATGTGTAGTGGAATTAATTTTTGAAAACCCCATCCAAATGCTTTGTTCACGTGAAGAGGTGGAATTGTGATTAGGAAGCTGTACCAAACACAGAAAAAAAAAAAAAAAAAAAGATGAACAAGGAAAGAGAAAGAAAGAAGAAAAGCGGAAGGAAAAGAAGAAAATGAAGGAAAAAAGAGGGGATAAGGAAGGAATCTTCACTGTGGACAGTAGAAAAAGCTTGCAAAAGCAAGACAACATCCTTACTCTAGAGAGAGTAGGAACTACACTAAAGCGTCAAAAACGGTTGTTAAACATTTGATTGAAGAAACACACGCACACACACAAATACACAACATGGGTAAAACAATCTTTTTCCAAATTAATCCCCTCACTAGATTTGAAACTCAACCCTTAGGATCATGTTTGATTCACAAGATTAATAGTAAAGTATTAATAATCCTATTAAATTAGTGTGGTATTCACTATCCAATTGGATTAATATCCATTGGATTAATAATACCACCCCTACCCCATTATTAATAATCCTACAAATTTGTTGGATTAATTATCCATTGGATTAATAATCCTAAATTAAAGTGTTAAAACAAACATAGGATAATTAGACCCACGGATTAATAATCTCAATCACATACTCTAATCTACACAATCAAACATGACAGTCCCCTCTTCCAAGGCCTATCATAGACTATGAATCTCCTCTCTAATTTTACAAATAAACATCATATTAATATGTTCTAGATTTATCCTAATCCAATCTCATTCCCTATAGCCCAAAACAAATACGGCCTTGGTTTAGATAACACTTATATTTATATTTTACATTGATTTATTTACATTATCTTAAGATTTATTTACAAAGAAAAGTTGATTCCACATTTTTAATCCTTTAGTTAAAAATTAATATCAAAATTGGGGTTTTGAAAAATGGAGGCCAAGTTGTTTGATGTTAAACTTAATTCAAGTTTAGTTAACGATTTATTTGTAACTAGCATTTTGCACATTTGATGTCTGTGTAACTTTAAAAAAAATGATCATTGTGTTGTTTAAGTGGTAAAAAAATTTATTATTAAACCTAGAGTCATGGGTTCTGGGTTTGAGGCTTGTCCTCTTCTTTGCATAAATATAGGAATATTTTGAAAAAACTCAAAATATGATAACTCCAAATATAGGTATATTTGGAAAAACTTAAAATAAAATATAGGGATATTTTGAAAAACTCAAAATATAAGACACATTTGTGTCAATACCACCAGCCGCATTCATTTTATATATTAGAATAGATAATAATAGATATAAACCATTTCACCAAATTAACCAAGGATTTATCTTTTGTAACTTAGCAAATTTAAATATATATTGTGATTGAATAATGGACTTGTTTAATATAGTTTTTCTCCAACTAAAAATAGATAATCCAAATCAAGAGCTAAAAGTACTCTTCCCTACTTTCATATAATCAGTTTTTTTTTTATTATTATTGGTAATTTAAGTTAGTTCTATATTAAAAGTTATAAGAAAAAATTATACCAAATGCTTTCATATATTTTCAAATAAAATAAAAAAAAGAAGAAAAAGAAGAAGCTATAAATTAATTTAATAAACTACACTAAATAGGACCGATATCATAGCAATTTTTAATTTGTATTACGGCATATGAATAAAAGAGTAGAAGATCTAAACATTAGGACAATTAAAGCGTGCACCTCCCAAAAAAAAAGTTCAAATATAAAAATGTTTAGATTTTTTATGATAAATTATGAATATTTATGGTCTGTTATGGCACTTTGTGGTAAAATTACAAATAAAGATTTTATGTGTGCACCTTACATTTGCAAATAGCAAAATTATCACACTTTATAATTTTTGTTATAACATTTTGTAATGAAAAAGTTGAGACATTTTATAAAGAAAAAAATTATCACATTTTATTATTTATGTTATGAAATTATGCGAAAAAATTAGGACAAATTACACTAACGGTTTTTATAATTTAGAACTTGTATCATTTTGGTCCCTGACCTTATGATACATTTAATCTTGAATTTGAATTTGAATTTGAATCTTGTTCCAAATAAAGACATTCGAAGACACCGTTTCCTTTGCAAATGGAAAATGCTCCATTTCAAGAACAAAATCATCAATTGGATAAAATATAAACTAATTTGACAAAAATAAATGTCAAAAAGTTATTCTTAAATTTTTAAAAATTATTTCTACCCAACAAAGATAAAATTATATAAAAATAATAAATCTTTTATATTTTATATTTTTATTTTTTTTACCAAATTAATTTTTATTATATGTTTGGATGATGATCATGTAATAGGTAGTTATTTTTGTTGATATTTTTTTATAATCATCATATAATAGATGGTTATTTATGTTGTTAACATATATTTTTGGATGGTTATTATGTAATAGATGGTTATTTTTGTTTTGTTAACATATATTTTTGAATGGTTATGATGTAATGGATGATTATTAGGTTTTTAATATATAATTGATATATTTAATATGAAATGTTTTTAGTTTTGAATTTTTTGATTTATTGGATTGGTTTAATAATGATATCAAAATTATTGTCATATAACTTTTGAAAAAATAGCAACTAATTTAACGAAAATAAATATCAAAAAAAATTATTTCAACCCTCCCAAAAGATAAAATTATATAAAAATGATGTATTTTTTATTTTTTTCACCAATTTAATTTTTAGTTTCTTAGAAAAAAAATTCGAAAATAGATTCTAAAAGCTAAATCAAACATAACTTTCTAACCAAGTAAATGTGAGCATTATTCATTAAAAAAAAATTATTTACATTTCAAACAACATACAAGTTAATCAACACAAAATAAGTTGCATGATGACTTTACCCTTGAAATAAACTGTTTGCAAATTAAACATCTTTAATTGTCCTTATTTGGAACAAAATTTACAATTCAAGGTTAAATGTATCACAATTAAAAAATCAGAAATCAAAATAACACAAGTTCCAAATTATATTACCTATTAATGTAATTCGCCCAAAAAATTAAGAAAAGAATATCATATGCACCATTTTCGAGGTACACATAGTAATCTCTCCCCAACATTAGATTTTTTTTGTAAATGTTAAAAAAAAAACAACAATGCTACAGACCACTAAATTTCTACCGCTAACACCATCACTAATCATGTGGCAAGTAAAAAAAACAAAAACAAAAACAAAAACTAAGACACAAAACACATGTGGCAGTGGGTAGTGCAACCACTAATTAGTGGTCTGCATTATTTTTCAAAAAAAAATGAACTTCAACTTGATATATACCATAATACCACCCTGAAATTAAAACTAAGCCATGCAAATTTTTATTTTTTATTTTAAATTGATTTTTGTAATTAAGTTGGGACCCGTAGTTTTTACTCCTAAATTTTGAATGTTTAAGGACCTTACAAATAGAATTTCTTTTAAAACAAAAATTGAATGTGTTCTGACAGATAATTATATTATTTATTGTGATTCGATAATGAACTTGTTTAGTACAATTTTGCTCCAACTAAAAATAGATAATCCAAAATCAAGAGTTACAAATACTCCCCCAACTTTCATATAATTATTCTTTTAGCATTGTTATTCAGATCTAAAAATTAGATTCACTTTTTAAATCCAATAATGTGTCAAACAAATGATTGATTAATAATTAAATATTATCTAATTATTAATCAATTATCTTTCTGACACATCATTAAGTTTAAAAAATAAATTAAAAAAGCAAACTGATAAATTATTTTTTTAATTTTTTTTTTTAATTTTTGGTTATTTAAGTTATTTCTATGTTAAGACCATTAGCAAAAATTATACCAAATACCTTCATATATTTTCAAATTTCCCCCCCCCAAAAAAAAAAAGTGGTAATAGCTGAAGTAGAACCCTCAGCAACTAAATATTTATTCGCTATATATTCTAAATTTAGTTTTATTTATTTAGTTTAGTAGGTAAAAATCAAAATTTAAACCTTTCAAAATTTAATCTTTTAGCGACTAAAAATTTAATGAAAAAAAATTAAAATTTAATTTTTTGGCAACTAAAAATTTAATAGACAAAATTCAAATGCTTCATTTGAAAAGTCAGTTGACTTTTTAACTTTTTTAACTTTTGTGGAAGGAAAATAAATAAATAAATAAAAAATAAGTGAAATAATTATAATTTAGATATGACATTTTATCTTATTGACTTTCTAGATTATTTTGTCATTTTGTAACTAATTTAACCAAAAAGCCAACCCAACCCACATTCCAAACGACACCAAAATTTAGTCCTTTGACGACTAAAAAAAATGTCACATTCATACTTATATCTATCATATTCAATTATTCATAAAAATATTTCCCTTCAACCTGTAAAATTCAATATAATATCATTCAATTATATATGGACAATAATAATCTCATAATCACAATTAATATTCTTCCCTACAACCTGTAATCTGTTCATACAATCATTCAAAATATATTTCCCAACAACCTATTTCATGTAATACTTGTTTTCATTCTCTTCTCAACCATCTCAAAAGTTTTAACAAAATATTCGAAGCAACTCTGTATCTAAAACTAATGATACACGCGCTTAAACCCATGTTACACTTCATCTCCTAAAAGGAGCTTGGATTCAACAATTCCATACCTGTTGCAGATAATAAAAATATAATTAAGGCACATGAATAATCAAATTCCAAGATCCAAGCATCAAAGCCACATCACAGAGAGTTGTTTTGCATCAACATTAACTAGTGAGTGACATGGTCCACTATCACACCACCATCAATTATACATTCAAAAAAAAATCCATAATAGCAATATATAAAGGAGATCATACATATCTCAACCATGATGACAGAACAAGAAGAAAAATGGCAAAACAAAAATGCAGTATGGGAATCTCACTCAGAAAGGTTATTGAAAAGATGCAGCCACGCATAACCAGTCGAAATGATTATTGAGAATGAGAATTCAGTATTCTGACTACTAAATCATTGGGGATAATTCCATGTGACCAAATGCAGCTGACCTGAGAGGGTGAAGTAGAGTAACCGTTTCAATAAAAACATCCCTCAAGGGAACAAAATTTCACTAGGAGCATGGCTATGTTATTTGAAACACAGATCGTTCGGGTATAAGGAACAAAAACAAGAACAAGAATGTGGTACGCCACATGTGATAGGGTTTTTTGCTGATATACAGACTTTAAAAGTGTAACTAATTCTGTTTTTAAAGTGCTCCATGTTTAAGAGGGATAGAATGCATGCATTTGTCTGATTTGTAAAATGGAATTACAAATGGGGAACTCTTTGTAAATGAGGAGAACAGGGAAATGGGTTGTCATGTATAGCACATGCTAAGAAGTTTGAGTAACTAACCATTTGGATAATCCTCTCCCTGACCCTCTCACTTAACTAATAGGCCATTTTAAGATTGAACTGCATGTCCACCTTGGTGTTCCACTGTAATATATAGAACAATTAACAAAAAAGTCTTGAATAAATTAGCAGCACAAATGAACCAGAAAGCATAATTTGCTATTGAAGGAACCAGAAAGCATGTTGTAGATACAAAAGACACTAAGGAATGACAAGCAAGCAATGCTTTTCAAGAGGAAGAGGGCAAAGGAAAATGTCAAATAAATTTATTCTTACCAAACACTAGGACGACCACCTCGACCTTGCAAAAGATGTGTGACCATGGTGTGGAGATGATTGATTTGTGCTTGTGTCGCCTCCCGCAATTTCTTCCCTTCCTCTCTCTCTTTCATCAGCTCATCATGATCTCTCTGCCACTCCTCACGAAGTGTCTTGATCTCAGATCTCAGTGTCTCCATCTCATGATCACATGCACATGCTCGTGACATAGCTTTGGATATAAAAGAAGAGGGTCGTGGGCCGATCCCAATTCCATGTAAATATCTCTTATTCTCTCCAAACACTTGTCTTGAAAGCTCCTCCTGGGTCATTGACATCCCAGACTGGGTGGCTTCGTCTCGTAAATTGACCATCTCAGCCTGCCATTGTAGGAAAAAAAAAAAAACCCCACAATAAGGTATATATATGAAGTCATTGTTTTCTAGATTAACATATCATGTCAAAAAAAACCACAATAAGGTATATATATCAAGTCATTGTTTTCTAGATTAATATATCAAGTCATTGTTGGAACATTAATATATCAAGTCAGTGTTTTCTAGATTTAATCTTTCTGGAAAGGTACCCTCAAAGATCTTCCCATATTTAGTCAATCAAAACTCCTCAAACCAGACAAAACTATCTGATACTTTTGTCTTGACTATCTCACACCTTTGTCTTAACACAACAGGAATCATGGGTGGCAAAACTGTTCACTGACGGGTAGAGGAACTCTAGATTAAGAAATCTGAACTGTAGAGGAATGGCTTAGTTGCAAGTTGCATGAAAATAAGTTCAGAATTAGGACTAGACAGATAATAATCAATCAGTCTTGCAACAGAAAATTCCAATTCAAGCTTATATGAATTCACATGGCAATTATAAAGCTCATCCAAAATAATGCTTCATCTATAGGCAATCCAACAACAAAAAAAAAGAATATTTCAGAAACCATATATGTTGTATATTTGTACATAGCTGGTTGGAAACTTCTAAACCAGCGAATGATAGAGCAAAAGGACTAAAGATGAGACATGTTTCAGAAACTGTTTAAAGAATGAGAGGGGAGAAGATGGGGGCAAATTAATGAGTTTAAGTTTCAGGCACTGCAAGTCACAGCAAATTAAGAAAGAGGAAATTTAAATAAAGGTAAGCTGATCTATATAATAGTCTTCAAAAAGATTTTACACCTAACAAATCAAACATGTACAATATATACTTGAGTGATCTAGAGGTAGAAACAGCATCAAAAACATGATCACCAAAAATAGAGTAAATAAACGTGTGAAGTATGCTTCAGTGCTAAGGATGGAAATACAAAAACGAAGCTGTACAATTATGTAATAGGTATAAATTCTACACTACATAAGAAAGCCACTCCCCATATGACAAAGGCATTAGATCTCTAGTTAATGGACTCATCACGTAACAACATTGTTGTTTTTGGGGTTTGGTCTTTGGTCTTTGTGGGACGTAGTTAAAGGAGAAGGGTAATGGATTATTTATTGTCCTTTTTCCTCCTTCACTATCATTTTGAATAGCCCATTAGTTTCCATTACCTTCATGTTGTACGCTTTGATTGGCTTCTATTAAAGACTGATGTTGTTTCACTCTCTAAGGAGGCTGAAGAATTGGCTGAAGTTGAAGCGAAATTGGTTTGTTTTTCTTTCCCCTCTAAGTTATTATATATCGGCATCATTACTCTCCTATGGATGCCATTGTTTGTAGGTTTTATTACATATCGGTAATGCAGTCACCACATAGACGCAGAAAAAAAGTACTATGAGCTGCTGCTGAGGACGGAGGAACCAAACCAGAAAGCGAGAAGAGTAGTACTTTTTTGTTTTGAAAATTCAGAAGTAAAAGATCTAAAGCTCCTACAGCGGTGTAACGGCCACAGCATAACGGTGGTGGCAACCGGAGCAGTGAATCACTTTATGTATGCACTCCAAAAAGACTATTTATCATTTATTGCTTGAAACACAGTGAATTATAGTTAAACCAAAAGATACATCTCAACTAAGCCCGTGCCGTTGGATAGTAGATCTATTATATTCAGCAATATCAGCGGAATGTCTACGCTGTAGAACTAAATACAAAGGAAACCATAACTGCAACAAGATAAAAATTTGGAGGTAGTTACACAAATTTGCAAAATCTATTAACAGTGCAATAAGAGACACAAGAAGGAACACAGCAGCATGATTATTTCACCAAAAAACTTGCAGTTTTCAATGATCAAGGCACATTCAGGAGCTTATATTCTGCTCAAAATTTAGGGTAGATCGAACCTTCCACTAAATTGTCTTTAAATATTCATCAAGAAGAAAAGAAATAAGCTTACAATCATACAGTTGTCAGTTTCACCAAATTTTCTATCAGTACATACCCTTTACTAAATTTTGAAGAGCTTCATATTATATCAAAGTAAAGCCAAAAGATTGAAGAACTACAGAGTAAACATTTAATAATTCTCAAAAGAGAAATGCTAGAGATCCAAATTAACAAATAATTAAAATGAAGCTTACCATATTGTATGATGTTCACAACAAAGAAGCCCAATAGAGTGTCCACGTAGATGATTAGCAAAACCAAGTACCATGAGAATAGTGAAATGGCAAAATTAGTGAAACAGAACATTTTGTTAATCTTGTAACTGGTGGTCATGGTCTACACTTATAATGTTAACTATAGCCATAGGTCTAGTGGAAAAAATCATAGGTCTAGATTATAAGTTGACCGATTGTTTTCTCGGTATAGTAGATTGGTTTGCTATGTACTCATTTTTGCGTGGCTGGCTGCATTATTAATGGTAGGTTACAATTTTCAAGCATAGTTTAAGCTAGTATTACCAAACCAAATTTGCATGAGACCAGCGGCGGTTCAAGCAACTTTCAGAGTTCAAAATCATCACTAAAGTGAAGTTTGAACTCCATAGAGATGTAACCACAAGATAAAGAAAAGATACAAAAGAAAGGACAATATGAAATTAATATAAAATTCAGAACAATCTTATGATTAATAATCGTAGATTACTTTTAGAATCCATCACATCCCAACCATTCTCAACCCTTTTTTTTCTTTTTTTGATCAGCAACAAACAAAGATTTATTAAGGCTCAACGTCAAGAAAAAAGAGGATAAGATATTCTCTTACAGCAGAAATGGAAAAACCAAAAATAGGTAAAGAAAATACAAAAAAACAAAAATACCAAACTCAAAAACTTCTACATAGAACAAACTGACACCCAATCTGAAGCAAGCAAAAAAAGCGGAATCTCCCGGAATACTGAGCTCGCCGAGGCCCAAAAAGACACCAAGTATCTCACCCTATCCCATAAGTAATCTATATCCCAACCATTCTCAACCCTAGTAATAAAAGAGACTCCATTTAATAAGTTTCATCACCATATAACTTTGTTTTGTTTTGTTTTTAATTTATAACCATATACGTTGTTAATTGATCAATTACAGACATAAGACACAACTTACACAAGGTATCAATTAATCATTCTAAAGGAAGTTTTTCTCATAGGCTCCTTGATTTTTCTTATAAGTTTTTGTCAACATTTTATCTAATTTACGACCAAGTGTAAGTCACTGCCGGGATTTGAAAACTAAAACTGGTTATCCAAAACAAGAGGCAGTTCAAAAGTGTTATAATTTGGCTTCTTGTACCCTGGGACTTGCACATTCAATTGTGCACCAATCATATGTCTTAATTATAAATGAGACTATCAATTTGCATACACTCACTCAGGACTTATTGCAAACATTATGCAGTCAATACAAAAACACAGACACAAAATCACAGAAAAGAAGAAACAGAACCTGGAAACAACAAAGTAGACAGAATCAGGCATAGCATGGGTTCAACCAGCATAAAAAACGAACAACATTTTCATTTTTCAAGCACAACAGTTGAAAATTATATCGAAGTTCTCTCTTCATCCAAATTGACATAACAACAAACATATGGCGTGCAAAATAAATATACATGTATTCCGTTTTTATAATCAGTAAAATAAACAGACATGTATTCAAATCGATGTTCTTTCATTCTTCCCCAATTTCTCATCAACCAATCATGTCATACAAGAAATGGAACAAATAAAACTTACATTGCGATGCAGATAGAACAGTAGAGCTTGAGGAATGGATCTTCACCAGAATTTGTGATTTTTCAAATGTGCTGCTGATGTGCTGCTGGAGATGCATTCAAGGTTCTCATATCCCCAAACTCCAAATTAATTGAATAAAATGAATAAATGTTAGTGTAGAAATTTAATGTATAAAGAAAAATAGAGAATTGTATAAATATTGATTGTATTATTGATTGATTGAATGTTATGTATTACACATGGTGAGTATGTTCTTTATATAGGAGATGTAGTAGGTGAAGTGGGTGGAGTGGTGTAGTAGGTGGTGGAGTAGGTGAAGTGGGTGGAGTAGGTGTAATGGAGTAGGTGAAGTGGGTGAAGTAGGTGGTAGGTTTTAACAGTTAGATACAAAGAAACTAAAATCACAAATGCAGTGATACATCGTCACAAATCATAATCCTTCAAGAGCATCACCAGCTGATCAGAAGATAAGTAGATGACTCTGCAGGTGACTCTGTTGTTGAGAAAAAGGTCATCTGTCAAAAGGTGGCAGCATACCACTGAGTAGCATAAAGAACAGATATTTCTTCTTCTTCTTCTTTTTAACAGTTCAAAGTGTAGTTTCACATTTACACATTCCAGTAGTGATTGTAACATAGCAGTAGATGGTACGCCAAGTTTAAAAAAACCGGACAACCATAAAAAATAACAGAGGGACCAAACTTCACAATGGAGGCAATATTATTAGCCAATGTCTCACGATCAATGACAATAACCTTAAACAATACATAGGGTGTCTGATTTAAGGAGAGAGGAACCAGAGACTGGCCAATAAACCTCATCAAACCACATCTTCCATTCTTCTTTCTGAGAAAGATCCCCATTCTCCAGTGACTTAAACAGCCCCTGAATCTTCAGAAACTATGCTTCCTTTTCTTCTGACCCTTGCCAACAGAAAAAGTACCCATCGTGCATGAATTAATAAGCTCCCTAGGAATAGGAGCTCCAGATGATTTCAAAATATCAACCAACTCTGGTAAAATTTTCTTATTCTCTTCATTGACAAAGACGATTGCTGTACCCTCCTCCCCCAGCCTAGATGCCCTTCCAATCTGGTGAACATACTCCTTAATAGAATTTGGCATGTCAAAGACTATAACTTGTCTCACACCCAAGAGATCAACTCCTCGGCCCAAAACCCCCGTGGCCACAATCACAGGAACCTCTCCAACCAGAAAAGACCTAATAATTTCTCTCCTCTCCTTCATGGGCTTTTCTCCATGGATCGATAGAGCTTTCACTCCAGTGGTGACTGTTACTGCTTGAGAAAGGAGATCTGCACCAAGTCTAGAACCCACAAATACCACAGCTGGTGGCATAAAGTGCTGCTTGCTCATCAATATGTCAAAAAGTTTCTTCTTTTTTTGCTTTGATTCAACCCAAATGGGCAGTTGCTTGACAGCCTCGTTTGGCTTGTTTGGCCTCCCAACAGATATAGCAATTATATCTTTCACCATCGAGCTAGCCATCTTCTCAACTTCTTTTGGAATTGTGGCAGAATACATCAAGACTTGAGGTCGTGACAAAGCCCTAAAAATCTGCATTACCTGCTCATGGAAACCCCTCTGGAGCATACAGTCCACTTCATCTAGAACAAGAATTGAAACACCATCTAATTCTATGTCATACTTTGCTAGCAGATCAATAAGCCTGCCCGGAGTTCCTATAATGACTCCCACTCCTTGTTGGATGCGGTGGACTTGTCCAGCCATGGGGTCCCCGCCAACTACAAGTGCAGTTTTAAATGGCAAACCCTTTCCTAGCAACTTAGCCTGCTCCTCCACCTGTATGCAGAGCTCTCTAGTTGGTGTAAGAATGATTGATAATGGTTTTTTCTGATTTGAGAGCTTCTCACGTCCAAAATTTGCACAGTAGGAAATTATAGGAACCAAAAATGAAGCAGTTTTCCCTGAACCAGTGTCGGCTGAAACAAGCAGGTTTTTGCCAACCAAAGCAGCTGGTATTGCTTGCATCTGGACAGGGGTTGGCATTTCATATCCAGCAGCTTCTATATTTTGGAGGAGCTTCTGAGGAAGATTACAAGAAGCGAATGACAGGATGGGTGCTGGAACAAAGTCTCCCCTGACATTGATTTTGAGTTTCCTTCTTAGCAACTCACTTGGATCATTAGTTAGATATTGAGATTCTGATTCTGATTTTGATTTTGATTTTCCATCAGAATCTCTTACATAAAAGCACTCATCATGGGTAATGGTAGGGGGTAGTAGTCTTGTAGGATGCGGGAGACCAACTGGCAACTGTGAATTGGCAATCTTGCAAAGAAGATTTTGTTTACATTCAAGGCTGCATATATCATCATCAGTCTCGTCACATATATACTCACCATAGCGGCCACATACAACACAACGAGGCTCACCTGGAAGAGCTTCTCTTTGATCCCAACACCTTTTCTTTACATCATTTACTGCATCACAAGAGACTAAAACAGAAAATTATATAAGCTAAGTGGAACAGTAAAATATTTCTGCATAAAACAGCCTGAAAATCCTCTATATACAGGCATGCCGATTCCATAAATAATGATGCACAGAGGCATAATCCAAAAAACATAGCACCCTGAGTAGAGGAAAAAGGCTAGGGCTAACGGTCCAATTGTTTGGGCGGAAAACTTTTTTCAGAAAATGTTTTCTGGAGAAAACATTTTTCTATGTTTGGTGGTGGTGGTGGAACAAAGGTGGAAGTGGAGGTGGCAGCATGGTGGTGGGGCGGCGACAGCGATGATGCTGGCAGTGGCCGTGGTGATGGTGGTGTGGTGGTGGAGGTGAAAGTGGCGGTGGTAGTGTGGTGACATTGATAAGACTTTAGTTTGAAAAATGTTTTCTGCCTTCTAAAACTTGGAAAACATTTTCTTCTCACAAGCTTGTTTTCTATTGACCATGAAAAATATTTTCTGTTACAGTTTCATTTTTCATTGTAGCAAAAATGTTTTTCGCCAAATCGATCACGAGAGAGAAACAAAAACAAAAAAAGCAAACAGATTACCATTTGCACGTGTATAATATTAGAATGGAGTAAAAATATAAGAAAAATAATAGTAAAAAAAGAAATGAACAAAATGGAAACATTGGTACCTAGTTCTTCTTCTTCTACAGTACCATTTGCTGCCACAGTTGAACTTTTAGATTGCATACCCTTGTCTCCTCCTCCTCCTCCTCTGCCTTCCATCATCTGAAAATTTGACATAAATTCAATGAATTGAATTTGAAGAGAGAGAGAGAGAGCTTTACAATTGATGACTGAAGAAATTTCACTCGTGACTCAATTCAATACACACAATAATCATGAATATATAATAAACCTAAACTTGAAGATAATCAGAGGGAAGAACATAATATATAACATACATGTATGTATGTATGGAGCCTACCTGCCCGCCTGGATAGCTTCGACTTTGAATTGAATTGTGAGAGAGAGAGAGAGAGAAATGACGGAAACAAACAGACAAACTAACAAAGGGAAAGACCAATCCATATAGCTTTAGATTCACAACAACCCGCATTGGCTAGCTCGGGTCACCTGTTCTAGTCTCGGTTCTTCTTTTGATAAGTTTTAACTGTAATTTTATTTTTTTTTTTGTAATCATTAATTTTCCCAACTTTTTATTTGACAAGTGTGCGGGTTTCTTTTTAAGAGGATTACATTTTCAAGCAACGCTACGGGCACCAAAAAGAGTGCATATGGTATGCAGCTCATACAAAAAAATATATAACTTTTTACTCACAAAAAAACAACTTTTTACTTCTCACAAAATGTATAATTTTTACATCAAAAAAACATGACTTTAGGGCCCCATTTGTTTTCAGAGGTAGAATAAAGGGGATTCATAGTGAGGGGATTAATAGTGAGGGGATTGTTAGTGAAGGGATTGATAGTGAGGGGATTAAGTAAAATTGTATTTGTTTTGATGATAGTTGTTAGTGTAAGAATTGTTAAATTATTTTTATATAAAATAATAAAACAAATAAAAAAATATAAAAAATTAAACATTAACATTTATAAAAAAAAATTCAATATATAACAAATAAAAAAAATAAAAAATTTTCTAATCCCCTCACTATTTTTCTAATACCATCTCGCCAACCTCCATCTCAATCCCCTCCCCAACCTCCATCTATATCACCTCCATCATCTTAATCCCCTCCCCAACTCTACAAACAAACACAACATTAAATAACACCTCCACCATCCTAATCCCCTCCCATCTACTTAACCCCAAAACAAACGGGCCCTAGGGGTGCATATCATAACTTTTTCTATTTGTAACTTGCACCATAAAAATCGTAATTTCTACCACAAAAATTTGTAACTCATCTCAAAAAATCATAATTTTTCTTATGATGTGTACTTTTTTAGGGGTGTATATTGTAACATTTTTCATCAAGCAAATCATCAAGGTATCCGTGTCTTGTCTTGGACTTTATTTCTTCTTTTTTTTAAATAAAAAAACAATTGTCATGTTGGTATAGTGTGACATGTACATGCCTGTGTTTCTTAGCAAGCGGAGATTTCGACACTACAATTAATCTACCATTGGGCAATGCTAAAATTTGCAAAAAAATAATAATAATAATAATAATTAAATTAAATTTCTAATATTTCTAACCAGAAAAATAGTTAAGAAACTAAAACTTGGACATTAATTAAAGAAGAAGAAGAAAACTTAACTATGAATTTATTCACGAGACATCTCCATCATGCATATATAAATTGTGCTATACTAAAATTGATCTCTAAGTACATCGTAGGAAAACAAGACTTTTAACTTAGTAGCTGTGTAGACTACAACAAAATTGAATTGGATTTTTACAACATGCACACAACTGTCGTTATATGATATGTCGTGGAATGTTGATTGTCATTTACGACATTGCATGCAAAGTCGTAAAAGGTAATATATCAAATTGCATAAAACATTTATGGCATACTTTGTATGCTGTATATAATCTTTTACGACATTTTTCTTACATGCCATAAATCATTACATTTTTCACGGCATAATTTTGCATGTCGTAGAAGACTATTTTTAATATATTTATGATATACTTTGTATGTCATATATAATCTTTTACAACATTTTTTGCATGCCATAAATTATTACACTTTTCACAACATAATTTTACATGTTGTATAATGTTATTTTTAATATATAAATATACATTAATTACTTGTATAATACTTGCCTTAGATGCTTAATTAGACTAGAATAAGATTTTCAAAATAGGAAACTAAAAAATTTGACTAATAATACCATTCCAAAACTACTAGACTCTTCAAAAGACCAAATCACATGACTTGATCAATAATATTACCCATGGATTGAAAGCATTTGCTTATCCAAAAATAGACCAAATCACATGACTTGATCAATAATATTACCCATGGACTGAAAGCATTTTTGCTTATCCAAAAAATATGAGAAACTGCCTCTATTTATAAAAGCTTGTAAATTATTAATTAAAATGAGACGGGGCAACTTAAAATGAAAGCTAGCTTCAGAAATTAACATAAATCTCTCTCTCTCTCTCTCTAAGAAATCCTACCACCTGCCAAATAGTTTCTTGAACTACTTTTGTTTTTAACCATTTCCACATTTGTTTAATACCATTTCCACATTTGTTTAATAATCCCAAAAAAATAAAAAATAAGATAAATGTTTGGTACCATCCAGGCCAAATTCATTATTTAACAGAATCTTGTTATATATTTGTCGACAATCGCAACATGATGCCTCATAATCACATCAATTCTGACAGGATAAAATTGTTACGCCAACTCATAGCTTTAGTATCATGTACTAAATTGATTAATAAGAAACATAAAGCATATCACGGTGGAGTGGGTCATTCTCAATTGATCTATAAGCATGGCTTAAATTCATTTAAAGTGAAACTATGAAGCACGGACACTTCAAAATAGGTGCCATAGCAGTGTCAGACAAGGGGACAACGCGACGGACATGTACAGGACACGCAATTTGGCGTTTCCCTTTTTTCTTTTTCTTTTTTGGTATGGGACACAGCGAGAAGAAGAAAGAGAAAAAGAGATCCAAAATCAGAAGAAAAGAAAGAGAGGAGAAAAAGAAACCTGTTCATCGAGCGAAGTCCTCAGTCGATCTCCATCTCAATCTCCATTGAGCTCCATCTCAGTCGATCTCCATCATCAAACGACCTAGTAAGTAGTAAAGCTCTCATCTATCTCTCTCTCTCTAGTCTGTCTCTCTTCTCTCTCAGTCGATCTCCATCTCCATCGAGGCTCCTGCACCAGTCGCGATCTCCATCTCCATCGAGGCTCCTATTCCAATCGATCTCCTAGCAAGTCTCTCGTATTTGTCTGTCTCGTCTTATTTCACCTCTTGCCTCTTTATCTACTCTCTGGTCTGTCTTGTTTCTCTCTCTTATTTCACATCTTGCCTCTTTATCTCCTCTCTGTCTTCTTTCTACTTTATTTTTAGTTGACTATTTTAGTAGGTTATTTTAATTTTTGACTATTTTAATAAGTTAAAATTTTTGTGTTTGAAAATATGATTGGATTTTTTTGTGATTGTATGTGATGTTTGTGAGAGAAAAAGTGAAATGATTATGAGTTTAATGTGATATTTTGTCTTATTAGCTATTTTAGTCTATTTTATCTTTTTGTGAATTTTAACTTAAATTGGGCTATTTTTTTTCTTACCAAACATTTATGATTAGATATATATATTGTATATTTTAGTTTAATTTTTTTTCTTTGTAAATTTATTTTTATTTTATATGCAATTTTTTCTTTATTTAATGTTCATAACATATGTAGATATGTTTATAATGTTTAAATGTAGTAGTTTCTATATACACATTGAATTAATATTAGTTTTTATTGGGATAATTACACTTTGCACTCTTGCACTTTGCACCAAATTTTACTTTGACCCAACACATGAAATCATGACAATTAACCCCTGCACTTCTGGTCAAATCCTACTTTAGTCCTTACACAAAATCATGATAGTCAACCTCTTACACTTTTGATCAAATTCCACTTTGGTATATACACAAGTGTCAATATTGTCCCCCTTCTAGTATTTCATTGTTTAAATCTTTAACAGAATTCAATCATGTGACTATGAAATGAGATTAAGAGAGGAAAATTATCCTCACTTTCTACCAATACACACTATGGAGGTGTTTGGCAAAGGCTATTTTTTAGCTTTTTGGGCTAAAATTTACGAAAAGACAAAATAGGCTAAAATAGTCAATAAGACAAAATATCACATCAAATCTATAATCATTTTACCTTTTTTCTCACAAACATCACATCCAATTACAAGAAAATTCAACTATCTTTCCAAACACAAAAATTTTAGCCTACTAAAATAGCCAAAAACTAAAATAGCCTACTAAAATAGCAACTTTCCAAACACCCACTATGTCCAAAATACATATCAAATTACAACTGTATTAAGCTAAGACAAAATGTATATTGTAAACAATTAAGAAAATGAAATATGATTTTGCATAAATTGAAATCAAGACACTCTGGGCTCGTTTGGTTTGATTTTCTGAAAAAAAATTGGGAAATTTTCTCTACAAATAAGTTTTCAAAAATAACCAAACCAAACAAATTTTCCCAAAAAAATTTCCCAAAACTTGTAAACCAAACAAGTTTTTCAAACAAATCTCTCTCTCACACACATCAAATCAATCACTTTTTCCAAAACTCTATCTCAAAATAATTTTCCAAAACATCTTTTAAAAAAAACCAAACCAAACATGTTTTCGTACTTTTTATCTCTAAAACACATCTCTCAAACACAAACCAAACATACCCTCTGTTTTCCACACTAACACAGTTTCTATCTATTCCTCTTTTTCTCTTTGATTTCTATGTTACCTTTTTTATTTCAAAAGTTCTATTTTCTTACCTTTTTGTCCCAATTTTAGCATACAAACATATATATATTATATAACTCTCACGCGCTTATCACATAGGATAAAGTGTGTATTGGTGAACAATATAAATAATTTTTCTCTTTTATCCATATTTTGTAATTGCGTTCTTATCATATGACTGAATTTTGTTAAAGATTTAAACAATAGAGTAACAAAAAATGGGACACTGATACTTATGTAGAGATCAAAGTGGGAGTTGACCAAAAGTATAATGGGTCGACTATTACGATTTCATATGTAGGGACCAAAGTGATATTTGACCCAAAATGTAGGGGTCCACTGTCATGATTTCATATGGAGGGACCAAAATGGAATTTGCTACAAAGTGCAAAGGTACAAAGTATAATTCACCCTTTTTATTAATTTTGATTATTTGGTAACATAAAATTAATCTCCATAGCAAATACGTAACATATATATTAAAAATATATATTTTCTGTGTCCCCCCACCGTATCCATGTCCCCATTTTTTTGAAATCGCCGTGTCCCGTGTCTGTATTTGTATTCGTGTCCATGTCTATGCTTCATAATATAAACCTAAACTTAATTCATTCATTTCATTAAATTCAGTCATTCACATCAATATTTATATATATCACCACATAATCATGGCTTAAATCCATTTAAAGTGAAATATAAACCTAAACTTAATTCATTCAATCATTCACATCAATATTTCACATAAACAATTTGCCAAACCAATTCAATAATAAACGGTTTTGTTTTCCTCACATTCATTTGTTCAAGGCCTTGAAAATGAGTAATAAACTCACATGGAATAGAGAGAGTCTCATTCATTCATTCATTCATTTCAATAATTATATCACAACATGAACAATTTGGCAAAACAATTCAACAACAAATTGTTCTGTTTCTACTCATATCCATTTAATGAATTCCTTTGACATCCATTTGAATCTGAAACACAATGAACCACCACAACTCATTCTATAAATGCCATGCATAAAGTGAAATTCGAAAGAGAGTGAGTAAAGATTTGATGATATTTAAATGTATGCAAGGCATAAAAAACAGGGAGCAATCGCGGTAACAACCTTATTTTAAACTTAAAGGAGAAATGTAGCTGAAAATAGAGCGACATGTCACAATACCTGAACAGGTTTGCTTTTCTTCATGGACTCTCTGATTTTAATCAACTTGAAAAATACACATTTAGCTATATCAAAAGAGAAGCTAACACTAAAACGATCTCTCTCATACTAAAAAAAAAAAAGCATTTAAGATAAATACAGGCAAAACCAAAGGGGAAAGCATTGTAAAAAGAAGGGCTGATAGAGCAAAACAAGTAGAAAAACCAAAAGTTCTATTAAATGGAATCTAGCAAGAATAACATAGGCAGTTATCCTTGCTACATTAATTGCCTGTCATTTGTTCCTTCATATCAACACATTTCAAAAGTTTGTCACATAATTGATGAAAGTGGTAATGAACCCTACTGATGATAGGGGTTGAGTGATTATGGGTTACTTGTGACGTCTCAGATTTTCCAATCTCAGTGGCTGGAACTTATTTTTCTTGGTCTGCAAGTTTTTCTTTGGTCTGGTTGTGGGTGGATTGAGACTATATTTGGATTGTTTCTTCTTGCCTTTGTTACTCTAGTGTTGTGAGGTTTTTCTTACTCTGGTTTTTTCCCTCTTTTTGGTGTCTTTTTGTACTCTCTTTGTTGGCTTCTCACCAACATTTGTACTTCCTTGGTGCTTGCATATGATTTGTGTGTTCATGTACCAACCTAGTTGAGATATGTTCATTTAGCCTCGGTTTTTTGTTTTGATGAAATTTTCGTTGTACTTTGTGAATTAGACTAACGAAATTCTCTTTTGGTGATAAAAAAATAATAAAAAAGAAGAAGGAGAATAAAGAACAAAAACGTAGATATCTTTCAAAAAAGGAATAAGCAAAGAATGAAAAGGAAAAAATCTGCAAGCTTGCTATAAAAAAATAAAAATAAAAAATCAGACATCAAAATATAACCCCCTTCAAGCTTGTAACAGCCTCCACACATTCCTACGAAACAAGGCAAGGTTTTATGTTCTTAAATGCAAAATTCTGATGTTAAATTGAATGCAGGAACATAACATATATAATATTTATATAGGCACCTCTAATAAATTTGTGGGTTTGATCCATCAAATGAAAACAAGAAACCTGGAATTTTTTTTATTTTTAGATTTAATTCATATAGCATATCATTATGAATTTAAATTTCATGAAATAAATAAATAGATAAAAGATTCATTTGAGATCGTCCACAGCATATCAAGGAAGAATCCCATCATAAACCAACAGGGATCAATAGAACATCTTAATCAAACAGTATATTCGTAGTCCTGGTGTTAGTGAGATTAACTAATTGTAAGAATGAGAGGGGGGGGGGGGGGGCGAGAAAATAAGAAAGGAAAGTGGAGGGAAAGCAGAAGAGAAACCTTTAGGCCCCGTTTGTTTGGAATTATGGGAAGGGGGTTGGATTTGATAGTGAGGAGGGGATTGAGAATGGAGTGTTTGTTTTGAGAGATAGGGAGGGGATTAGTAATCCCTTGATATCTATACTTCTATACTATATATATAAACAAATGTAGTAGAGTATGAGAATTTTCTAAACTCTTAATACTAAATTCTTATGGATTCACTCTCCTACGTGTCACTTCTCAAGTCCTCCCTCCCACTTTTCCTAATTTTTAATCATTTGTCAATTATCTAAATCTCAAAAGCCAAAAGGATTATATATATTTAAATATGAACAACAAAGAGGTAGAGATAAAAATATAAAATAAAAAAAATAAAAAGATAACTATTCAAATTTCAACTACAAAATAATATAAAAAGTCAAATAAAAGATAAAAAAAATAACTAAATAAAAAACATTATGAGTCAATTAATTATAAAAATAAAAAGTTAACTATTTATATATGAACAATTAAAAAAAATTTAAATAAAAAAAATTACGAGTCAAAATGATTTTTAAAATAAAAAGGTAATTATGTATATATGAATGACAAATAAATATAGATGAAAAAATATACAAAAATTAAAATATAACTATTTAATGAAAATTCAAATAAATGATAACAAAATATTTAAATAAAAAAAAGAATAAGATTGGGATATAAATATCCCAAAAAGATGATAATTTTTTTTAACGATTTATATTTATCTTTTGTTAGTTTGTTATAGAATTTCTATATATTTCAACTTAATCTTTTTAAAGTTTATCTTCATGTGGAACTTAATATTTTATCTTTTAAAATCATCAATTACTTATTTATACAAATTTTGAACATGATAGAATTCCATATATATCTTTTATTTAAGCATAATCTTTTTAATATAAAAACAAGTTCCTGCCAAAGAAACCATGGATAGAAAATTGGGGGGAAAACAATCAACATGGAGTATGAGAATTCTCTAAACTCTTAATACTAAATTCTTATGGATTCACTCTCCTACATGTCACTTCT